ACAGAGCCCATACTCATGGAATATGGTCAACCTCTTTTCTTTTGGTTGTCACGTGACTGACCGAGCGTACGTACGTACGCGTCTACAGATTGTACGGGTAGGGTAGGGGAGACTATCAAAAGGAAGGGAGGGGTGTCTCAGGCGTGTCTTAGCAAATCCACATCTTTTACATTGGCCATTCACGATATGGTCAGTTGACAGCTGTCAAAACAAGATAGCCACTGACCAGTATCACACTGCCATATCGGGGGCTCATGTGTCAACTCATCAAGGTGACGTGAGTTATTTGGAAGCTGTCCGCTGACCAGTTGTTTTACTAGATCGCGATCAATGTTCAATCTCATACTTTCTAGCTAGTTTGAGAGCACAGGAAAACTGATAATGCACACATCCATTAGACATCAATGTTTTGATCAATTGACAGCTGTCAAAACAGGGTATCCGCTGACCAGTATCACTTGACCGTATCGCGGGCTCAGGTGTTAACCCATCGAGGCCAAGTATTTTTTTGAAGTTATCCGCTGACAAGTTACTAGTTTACAAATGATCGCAGGCTCAAGTTTGATTTTTTTTCATTCATATGAAATATGTTTTGTTTTTGGGCCGCACAATTAAAATTTTGATTTAAAACTGACCTCGGACCCGAAAATTCAGCCAGCTATTACAGGCAAGACAGTTGCTTTTGACTTTGCTCACCATGGTCACGCGTTGGTCACGCTCTACATCCATTTTTAAAGCTCTGATTGGTCAAAATTTGACAGGTGAGCTCATGCGGAAAATTTATGCAGCATTTTGAATCTTGTTTACTTTGACAGCTGAAGCTGAGAGAGTTTTGTGTCAACTTGTGATGTTGTTAACTGTCTTTTTCCACTGGATGCACAAAATGAAATTTAGCTGCTATCAGGAGCCTTCTGTTATTCATGGCTAGTTGGTTTTTGGTTGAGAAATTAATACATCACTTGTCAAAGTCGGGAATCCGATTTCGGGTGTCAACGTTTTTGTTTTTCACCTTGCTTGATGCGCGTAGAGGCTGAAAACTCTAAAGCGATACTGGCCTTCCTTGATACCTTTCAGGAGCTGCATCTCGAATGGTAAGCCCCAGTAATTATTGTGTTTGATGTTTGTTTTTTATATCTAATCTAAAGAAGTCGAGCGTAGTTTATGCGGCTATGTAGTTTATGCACGTTTGTAAGATTTGAGACAATTTGATCTGACCACGAATCAGGTAAACTTGATATAAGCTTACACAACTTTAAAAAGTCTTTAGACATTTTCTCACCGCAGATAGAAAGAAAACGTTCCATAGAACATTTAGTTATAATTCTGGCAGTAAAAGAAGGCTTTGAGCGATTTTCTTGCCTCGAGTTCATCTGTGAAAAAAGTAAATACCGGGAAGCCGGCTTAAAACAAAAACTTACGCTTTAAGCTTGAAGACTCAGGATTTTTAGAGACACTTTAATATTTGTCTTCGTGAATGAAAAATGTTGTCTCTGTATATGTTTCGCCGAATTATATTTCCTTTATTGATTGCTGGTAGTCTCTCTTGTAATTTTAATCGCTGTGCCGTTTGTTTTCAGTCGTTCAGTGAACATCGCTTTCAGGAGTACTCAAAATGCAGCGCGTATCAAACGCTTTTAAAGATTACAGATCGATAAAACCATTAAATAAAAAATAAACATAATAATTTCTTTATTGTGTTGGAGCTTAACTCTAGTATGTTCGTTCAAACATTCGCTACAGCTCGCACTGCAAAAGTGAGAACCGGCTGGCTGTATTCGTGATTTTGGACATTTTTTAACGGTTTAGCTAAAAGCCCACGCGTGCTTCGATCGTCCTAAATATTGAATGAGTGCAATTTGTCTTGGAAAACTGTGAAATACTGAATTCTGTCCGAGGTCTGTATGATAAAAACAGTACCTCATAGTACTGTTTCACCTCAGATGTGATGTATAAATGGTATAAAAGGGTTGTTAACACGCAACCAGATTTGTTGGCAAGATTTTGTAAAGTAAACTTGTCGAACGCAAAAAAATTCAACCTGATTTTTTATCCAGGCCTAATTAATCTTACGGTGATCAAGAGCCATTATGGCTCTTAAATGTGATCGAAGATGATTGCTATTTTTTGGGTGTACATATGAGGTTATCAACTCGATGTAAGATTTTGTTCACTCTTGGGCTGTTTGCAAATTATTTTTCTCTAAAATCACTTAGCCTTTCCTTCAAAAGTCACATGAATGTGCTATGTGCTCTAAAGTTAACTGAATTGTGGAATACAAGTTTATTGTTTGATTTAAATTATAAATATATAATGGGAGCCTCGCTTTTAGCCCTGGCTAAATCTATATATTATACATTTATGGCCTATACAAATTGTTCTAAGAGCCTTACAATTCTCAACCTATGTTTCTAGTGTTAACAAATCACAAAAGAGAAAAAAAATGATCAAATAAATAAATAAAGCTGACTAACAAAAATTAATTGAAATATACCTTTAAAAAGATGCGTTTTCAGCTTAGTCTTAAAAATACTTAAACTGTCTATCCCACGTAATTCAGATGGAACTTCGTTCCACAGTTGGGACCACAAACAGAAAAGGACCTCAGTCCATAAGACTTCATATTATACCGAGCCAGGTTCAGTCTAATCGCATCCGTGAAGGAGCGCAGTGATGCATTAGACTTGTAGACCATCCAATAATTCTTGTAAATAATTAGGGGCTAAACCATGAATACGTTAAAAAGTAAGGAAATTCATCCTATAAGCTCTACATTACTGGTAGCCAGTAAAGTTCTTTCAAAACAGGAGAAATGTGTTCGTGTTTTCCTAGTCTAACAATAATACGTGCAGCACCGTTCTGAACGTTCTGCAACTTCGCAACCAAACGCTTGCATGCACCGTACAACAAAGAGTTGCAATTGTCTATTTTTCAGGGGCACCCATCGACGGTTTCCCCCTAAATACATTTAAAACACTTTTTAGGCTATCCAGAGTGCTTTATATATCTGGAAATGCATTCTAAGCGGCGTTGTAGAATTTGTATCTCTTCGGTCATCCTAGGGCAACTTTAGTCTTTTCGAAATTACAAGGGCTTCACTATTATTTTCCCGAAACTTTTAGATGCAGTTTAAAGATTTACGAAAGAGAGAATTTTTCTGATTCCTCTCTCCATCACATTTTTGATTCCGAAAATGTTAGGTTTCCTATCTTCAACGAAAAATACCCTGACCTGGAGAGTGAAATGTGAAAAACTATACGAAAATCGTAGGGAATTAATTAAATAAGCCTCGAAAATTGTACATGAATGGAAGTGCATCATCTAGAAATTTTTAACCGTCCTCAAGCTATAGAAAATTCTAGGCAACATTTGCTTCTCCAAACAGATATTTTACAGAAAACAGTAGTTGGGTGCCACTGATTTTAGATAGAACTAACACGACAAGATGACCAATTTTATAGCACATGTAGCGTGTTTGGATCCTTGGGGTGTGATAGCAGACTCTAACACAAAAACTACGGGCTGTCTTGCAGCCTACAAATGTACTTACTAAGAGCGACCTACAATGATTCACAGCAGCCCTAACTGAGCCACGTCGACATCAAACATAACCCACAACCAAGCGGCCATGACATAAAAAAAAAACATAATAATCGTGGATTAGGCGTTCTTGCAAAATAGTTGATTTCCATAGGCCTTTGCCCTCAATCCGCTAGTTTCTCTGTCTTTCATGTGTTTCAAAAGAGCTTATTTTAAAACATCATTACTAACAAGTTCAAGGCCAAAGTAAAATGTTCAGGATAAAAGTGTTAAAAAAACAAACCTACCTGCGAGGTCTTTGCTTCTTTTTTTTGTACTAGGTTAAGAAACTATCCTGGGCACGTAAAACAAGCCAACCGCACAAAAATCCAGAGCTGACGTGATTTAGGTAGAACTTTTGTAGTTTCGAAAGAGCATTGCATTACATAACATACTCAAACCCAAACGGTCAAGAAAAAAACCTTAACAAAGCATTAAGTGACTAAGGCATAGTTAGTAGGTCAATTTGTGCATAGTTTGATTTCTAATGACCATCGTGATGAGGTTTTCTTGATTGAGGGCAGAACTGTGGTGGCCATTACTTCATGGTAGGGTGGTGGCCGTGTTGAAGAGAAGAAAGCATAAAATGGAATTTAAGGACTGTCAGTCGGAACAAAAAGGATTGGCCTTTGTAGCAAAGGACTGAGACGCTACGTAGGTGGCTATTAGTAAACGTTTAACTGACTGTGAGTTCTAAATTGGAAGAAAACTTACCATATTTGAGAACAAGCAGCGCAGATCAACGATTCGCAATTGCTTCTTAAGTAGCTCCTTCTGTGAAGAGACGCTGATGTGAATGCACGCTTCACCCAGTACACTTCCTTATATTAGAATTCATTTTAACTGATCAATCAAAGTTAACTGCGAAATCTTCAGTTACAAATTTTATCGCTCGTTTTTTTTAATTTGTTGGCACACTTTCCAGTTGGAACCTAATATGCTGACCTTAGTGAAAACAAAACAGCATTAGTAAGGAGTTTATATTGCTGCATCTAGATAAAAATACGTATCTAATGTTACACGCTAAATATAAAGATAAGCTGAATAGTAGTACTGAATACTATACTTTATAAAGGGTGATTACATAACATAGGACAGAACACTTCTTTGTGCTAAGACAAAAACTGATCACAACATGGTTTTGTCCATTGCAGTCTTTATCAAAAGTCGTCTTTGAAAAAAACAGCCGCCGTCTCAACAGATCAAATTAATGGAGTCAATAGGGCAGTTTATGAGAAAAAGTCAACACGTGTCTTACATAATATACATCTTCCTTTGAAATAAGAAACGAATAGGCTAAGATATGAGACCGTAAGAACCATAGACTGTCAAAGTATTTAGCCCGTGTGGACTAATTGGGGACGCAAATTATCTAAAAGTGTCCTTGAAAAGACACGTGTTAGCAAAAAAGAAGGAATTAAAACCTCTATAAATGTCCTCCGCATCTCAGAACGAAGCGAAAGCATAATACCTGGGCGTCATATCAACTTGCGCCATGTACGTTGGATTGCCGTTGTTATGGCAACTTCTACACAAAAACGATTAAAATAAATGACACAGTTTGTGCTGTTTTCTACAGGACACGTCTCATATAAGATACCTCATGTTTTTTTTTCCAAGTATAAATGGACCTAGATGTATACTGTGCGCAGCAGATACACTTTTCCCCTTTTTATGATTATTTTACTTTATTTTAATTTTTTGCTTTCCTTGGCTCTCTTTTTTGTTATTATTACAGTAGATTTTCTTTTCCTTTTAACCGGTGCTAGCTCTACCACGGAAAAAGTTCCCCGGTCGACTTCTTTCATCAAAGCGACAAATAAACCAAGACAGATCGGATGGTTGGTGTTTACTGCACTATGAGCTATTTTATTCAGAGTTACTCACAATGACACGACATAATTGTGGCACGTAAAATGAAGACGCCACTGTTTTATCACTCGTGCAATTTATGTTAAAATTAACGAAGAAGTCTAGGGCAAACAGTGTTTGGGAAAGGCAGCAAAAAATAAAGTTGTAAAGGGTTAAATTCACTCGATTCACGCTAATTCAGAGGGTAATGTCGGTAGGGTTAAAAAAGGTATTTTCATAGCCTGTTGCGTTGAAGCACTGTCTCCAAGCAAATTATAAACAACTGTTTCAAATTGAATAAGTAGGAGTTACGGTGTATTAATAAATTATATATTCTTACATGGAAAAGATCTGCAATAAATTTATCAGCTAAGAGAATAAATGCAGGGCTATTCCAATATATAAAAACAGTTGTGATCACATGTAAGGTATAAATTCAGTACAACAAAGAAGATGGGGTGTATAAGGCTTAGTTATTCGATTTGTCATAAAAAAGGGTTGATACACTGATTGAAAGAAGAGCATACGAGTCAATGACGTTCTCAAAGTCTAAACAACTGTTACAAATTGATAAGTAGGAGTTATGAGTAAATTATAAAAAAAAGATTCTCAATAAATCTATCAGCTACAACAATAAATGCAGGGCCACTCCAAAATATAAAAACATTTGAAGATGGACGGCTCGACACATTTTTTCAGTGGTTGTCTTTATACTAGGCCGTTAGGTAAAACTTACGAGCTGCTAAGTTTTAATTAACCAAAAATGCGTGCGTGAAGGCCTAAGTAAAATCTAAAGTAACTTTACTTTGCATCTCATTAAAGTCGGAAAGTTGAAACCATTCAAGAAAGTTTCAAGTGACTTGAAAACCATCCTTAAAACCGACTTAGCAAACTTGCGGTTTCTAAGCTTTGAGAAAGGCGAAGCATGTCAATCAATCTTCATTATGTCACGACGTGGGAAAATAGGCTTAAAAGTAAACTTGAAGGAAAAAAGATAGGTTGTGTGTGAAGCTTTTTTTTTACTTGAAGAATTTAAAATTTACTTGTCTTGAATTATTTCTTAGGCTCTAGTGTAAAGACTACCAGTGTTTAAGTTTGATAAACTGACTAAAATAAGAACATTTGTATTAATAAGAATCTCAAAGAAAAAGGACCTCAATGATTAAAAAAAGACTCCCAAAATGAATTTTCGGCTTTTTACATCATCATGTTCATACCGTGTAAAAATAGAAATACTTCACCTTTTTGTGAACGCAAAAAGCAGAGAGTATAATCCCGAACCCTGTGGAATGCCACAAGGCTGGACTATCTTATTAGAAACAATATTTGACCATAAGAAACAATCAAACTTAAGTTGCTTGCTAGTCATTAATAACGTTTCTGATTCCCTTGTCATGTAATTTTTTCGATTAAAATTGTTTATATGACTGATCGGAAAGCTTTTATTAATTTCTTTCACGGACTCACAGGTACATTAAAAGTACTGAATACCCGAAGACAAATACGTAGCTGAGGTCTTTTTACGAGAGTGGTGGTAAAAGAAACCGAATGGGAAACCCTAAAAAAGATAACTAAAAAAGTGCCACAAGTCTCAAAAAGGCAAAATAGTAATAAAAATTGAATGGCTGTACTGATTTAGCTAGGGTTAGAGGGGCTGTTATTGCCAACTATCAAAAACACATCAAACTGAAACTAATCATATACCCAGTACTATAATAAGGTGTCACACGGAAGCGTTGTTTTCAAAAGGTTTAATCACTAAAGATTGTTTACACTTCTTCCGTCCAACTTCTCTTTGCTAAAATTAATCTCTAGGTTTTTACGCCACTGCGTATTTCTGCGTTGTTTGACTATGAAAGGAAGTCAGCCGAGCATAGAGTGGCGTGCCATGGAAATTTCACACTGCCCAACGGAAGTGTAATCCTTGTTGTGACTGGTTACATCCAGTTTGCGGTCAACATAGTTATAACCTGCCATCTTCACAGGCTTCTTTGCCCAAACAAAAGAAATGCAAAACCTAATAATACAAACTGTCAGCTTAAATCTTAACCAAATACCTTTAATTTTGATCACAATGCTCTTGTTGTGTACAGTATTCACCCTTTGCCCCAACCACAGGAAAAAATCCACGAAGGGGATGGGACTATTATCCCATTTTTAGGCCCGCGAGGTGCCGCTGATGGTTTTAAAATCGGTACACAGTACTTAGGACAAAAAGTGCCCTCAAGGGGACAGTAAAACAAATCAACACTGAAATTTACTCCGAAATGTTAACTAGTACTTAAAAAACGAATTGGAGCAACTGAATGACACAATTTGATAACATGAGGTTTACAAATGTATGTAAATCAAAAGTTACGGCAAAAAGGAGCGTAAATTCAATTTTCATGAGAACCAATTCTTCACGACGAAGGAAACATTGTGAAATCTGGGCTCTTTTCCTGTTCATAATTATTTTAAAACCTAAGCTGAACTTATCCCTTTTGTTTATTCCAAATCGTTCCTTTCAGATTAGTTAGATCATTCGGGGCCCTAAATGACAATTTTCATATCTTACTTGTCAGTAGTTTTGAAGTCACACAAATAATGACCACCTCCGTCCATCTTCAGAGCCATTTAAAGTTGTTTCCTATCAGCATTCCTCTCGTGCATAGACACGCTCAGTGTTGGGTTCCCAGCCTTGTGTCTTCTTCGGCAAAACAGGTCCATTGGCAGGAAAGTTCAAACCAGTGAATTTGACATGGTAGATGAAACAGTTGCCTTGGATGCTTTTTAAAACGAGACGAAAACATGTTTTAATAAAGTGAAAAGTGCAATGGAATGGTCGTGGATATTTTCATAATGATACTCTACAGCGCATACGCAATGTCAGACGATTCGCCGTTTCTAACGAAGAGAAAGCGAGACTGATCTGCTGACATTTCAGTCTTTTCTAAAGGGAGAAAACCCTTCCCAGATCTGTGTATAACTCTTGCTATGACAGGATTTTCTCTTAGCTCTCAGGTTTCCAGCTTTTTAAAAAAAACACATTTTCAAATATCAATTCTTTCGGGAATGGTGGACAAGAAACCACTTTGGGGATGCGATGCCAGATGGTTGTTATTTGTTTTATTACTTTGACAGAGAGTTTAACTTTCGACCTGGGTCACATGTTTAAACCGGTGTCCTTGAAAGAAACACACTTTGCACTCCCTAGTTCTATCGTAATTCCACCTAATGTGGACCTGCTAAACTGTATTAAATAATTACATAATAACCGAAAATTACCAAATATACTAACTATACAAAAGAAATGTCAAAATATTACAATACACACTATCGAAATTAGTAGAAAAAGAATTTCAGCTACAAGAATGCAAAAGAAAGCGGCATGATAAAGCAATAAATTAATTTGTAAAAAAGGTAATCTAAAAGTAAATACAGTCATCAGTGTTCTTGTATGTAACAGTGGAACTGGTCCCAAAAGATATTCCACCGATAGATTTAGAGTGTTTTGCAATATTTCCTCTAAAAGATGCAATGGAAGGTGACGACTTGATATTTACAGGTAGAGCATTCTATATTATGCAGGCTCGATGAGTGAAAGAGTCACTGAGTCCTTTCCAGTAAGAATGGGTTATATCAAATATGAGGTTGTCCCTTAAATTGTATTTAGTCACGTTCTTTGTAAAGAGATGGTTTTTTGTAGTAAGCTTGATAAGCAATGCACGCCAATCTTTTCTTGTAAAGATATGATAAGGAGTAACATTTAGCTTTAGATAGAACTTCATTCTTAGGAATGGAGGGACTTATATTATGGATAAGACGAGCAGCACGAATGTGTAAGTCTTCCAGATCATGTAATGAGTTTGGACAGCCCCATAGAGAAATACAATAAGTTACACTAGGTAATATACTTAAAAAATAGATAGTTTCTAAGGTGGTGTGGTCAAATCTGTTCAAGTTTGTTTAATTTTGCATTAAAATTTGCAGTAATGGATTTAATGTGGGTTGACCAACAAAGTTTATTGCCCAAAGTGACTCCCAGACTTAGAGTGAGATACCCAGTTAATCGAATTATTTTCTTGGGTGATATGCAGAATTGGT